GCTAAAAACAGGAAGTAAATTACATCCTTCAGGATAGTATAATCCCATAATACAGCCAAAATCTTTTTAAAGTTGGACCATATTATCCATTAAGATCACAATGTTGTACATATATTTCACTAAAATATTTTTATTTTTTCATGACATTCTTCTTCTTTAATGTAGCGTGTTCATTCATGGCGTAGGTGGTCATTCATGGCGTAGGTGGTCATTCATGGCGTAGGTGGTCAATCATGGCGTAGGTGATCATAGCTCTCCATTTCTTCCTAACCATCAATAAGCTTTGACTTTTTGTTGTTTCTCCCAGACCCTGTTCTGCTACCCACTTGCATAAGCCCGTTAAGTATGTCACGCGTTGCTTTCCCTTGTCCCATATTCCCTCTATCCGCCTTGTGAGTATAAGAATTCCCAAGCCCTCCTTTCTCATTACGTGTCCCAGAATTTTCAGCTGTCTCTTCCAGATGTTATGAGTTTCCTTTTTGTTTGCATCATCTCCAAAACCTCATCGTGGCTCACATGTTCGGTCCATGATATTCCTAACATTCTTCTGTAGAACCTTACCTCTGTTGCTTCGAGTCTCTTCTTCATCTTTGAGGAAACCGTCCAACATTCGCTGCCGTAAAAGAGGACAGATATAACGTAGCAGTTCAGCACTCTTTTCTTTGTTACCAACGAAACGCTCCTGTCTCCTAATACTTTGCCTAGCTTTTGGAATATCTATAAACCGGATGGTTAGTCACAGAGTGTTTCTTCGAATTTCCGTTTCAAAACTTATTTTCGAATCTTCGGCGGAAGGTGCTAACTATAAATAACATACAATACATTTTACGGTATTACTTAATATTTTATAATATTTTGTGTGACATGACATTATTATGATTTTATATAATAGTAAACTATGAAAATAAAATAATATTTCTTTCATTAAAATGAAGAGAGAAAACATGAAAAACAAGGAAGTCAAAATAGAAGCAAACTTTATTATGTGTGCAAAACCGAGTGTATTTGCAATTTTGCTGTTTCAAATAAGAGAATTTTTAGCTGAGTACAAATTTATGAAAATAACTATTTATGTATAATACGACCCACATTTTGCTTTTAAATTTCGTTCAAAATTTCTCGCATTATGCACAAGAAAATGCGGTAGAATTCTATCTATATATCTCTCAATATATATATATATATATATATATATATATATATATATATATATATATATATGTGTGTGTGTGTGTGTGTGTGTCTGTGTGCATGTGTGCGACTGTATGGTCATAAAATCAACTTGCATAATTGTATGTTTATATCAAAAAAACGCTCTAAACCAGATATTAATCCTTAATGCGCTTAATTCAAATTTGAACATTATTTACACAGATCGAAAATTATACTTTGACACTTTCATAATCTAAGGGGTTATTAAGAAACGATCATGTATGTTTGTATGTCTATATATCTATATATATCTATATATATATATATATATATATATTTATATATATATATATATATATATGACCACTTTAAGGCTCCATTTGTAATAATCTGTTTCGCCAGAGAATTTTATTTTTCTCTGGATCTTCAGACTTCACTTTCGAAAGGTGAAACGAAAAATGAATTTAAGATTTAGACTTTTGACGGGCAATATTTAAGCTTATATAATTTGACACAGAACGTGGTGAGGAATGGTGTGGGAGACATGGTCGAGTTTAGAGAGGGAAGGGAGAGTTTTAAAATTTATTTTTATTTTTTTTATTATAATACTTAATATTGAGGAAGGAGGGGTAAGAATTAGATACACACACACACTCAATATATATATATATATATATATATATATATATATATATATATATATATACAAAAAAAAAACAACGAACCCAAATAAATAAAGTAAATAATAAACAAAGTAGCAAGCCATTATGACCAAATTATTAGTTTGACTAAAAAATCAAACCAAAAAATCAGACGAAAAAAATAGCTATAACTGTTATATAACGATAAAAAAATGAAATAAAATAAAAACAAATAAAATAAAATAAAAAATAAATAAATAAATACTACGTTACTTAAAAAGCGAAAACTGAAAAGAGAAAATATACAAGTAAAATAAATTGACCTAAATTCATCCAAGTAAATAAATAAACAAACCAATCCCGATAAAGTTACCGTTTGAAAATAATAGTTAGAATAAACTACAACAACCAGCCCCAAAACCGAACAAATAGCTTTAATTAAATTCTCAAACCAAAACAAAACTATTAAATAAGTGATATGAACAAATTTTTACTACGTTTAAAAAAAAAAACACCGATTAAAAAATAGGTAAATAAATAAATAAAATAAGAAACAAAAAATAAAATTAAATAAAAACAAGCAAAATAATTTAACCCAAATAAATAAATAAACGACTTCCGGTAAAACAACCGCCATAATAGACTACCCACAATGCACCACTGACCCGTATATGTATAAATAGCCGAGAAAAATAACAGCACACGGGGCCTGACGATTGCATATAGCATGAAACAGACTGTTGCCTCTAAGTGTTGACTTCTATATTCACTTTTATTTTATTTATATATATATATATATATATATATATATATATAAATATATATATATATATATAAAGTCAAGAAAATCCTTAAAAATCCATCTCCGTTATAATTTATTTCATGAATATATTTAAATATTCATCTTTTCAGCCAGCCCGAAGGTTTTTTAAAAATCAAATCAATTTGTCCAGACTGATAGAAAAAAGGATGAGGAAAAAAGAAAGAAAAAAGAAAAAGAAAAAAATCATAAAAAGCAAGTAAGAAAAATTAAAATTTCAAGATAAAATTTTAAAACTTTCAATATAATGTTTTTAAATTTTCAAGTGTAGACACAAGAACAAATTTAAAATTTCCTAAAATTATTGACTTTGTGGGGAATCCACTTGAAGTGTTGCTTCTGTTTTATACAGGTACTAACATATATGTGTACGTGTATTCACATTTTTATGTTATCTGTGTGATTGTCTTGCCTACTTCATTTATCATTTTAGATTATTAATTAATTTTATTTTATATTACTAATATTGATCTTATTCTTTTTATTAAAATAATTTTAAACTTTTTTTTATACATATCTCTTGATTTATTTTTTTTACTAAATTTATTTTTTATATTTTTATTTTATTTAATTTACTTTATTTCATTGATGTTGGATATTATTATTATTTTATATTTATTATTATTAATTTGAACTTGTGATGATTATTATAATGCGATATGAAATTTGCTGTCTAAAATGACATGACTATGACTGTAACAATTTTAATTCTGATCACCCCTTCTCTTACCCAGTATATTAACTTGGTCAGCGCTTTAAAGAAAAATTTGTTTTTAGGTCAACGTATTGGCTCATCATTTAATTCTTCCTTCTCTCCTTTCTTTTCTTTACCTCTCTCCCTGCCCCCTTCTCTCTCTCTCTCTTTCTCTCTCTCTCTCTCCTCCAACTCTCGCTCTCTTTCTTCACCCAATTTTAAAAAAAATTATATTGAAGTTTTTAATTTTTATTTCTTCCTTGTTTATTGCAAAAAAAATTCCTTTTTCTTTCTCATTTCCTCTCCCCCCTTTTTTATCTTTCTGAACTGATTTTATTTCTTAAATACCTTCGGTCTGAAGGGCTGAATATTTAGATATATTCATGAAATAAATTATAACCGAAATGGATTTTTAAGGATTTTCTTGACTTATCATTATTATATTGCTCTGTTACTTACATTGAGCTATCTTTGGATTAATGTCCTCCTTAGAATTATCTCTACCAATTTCCAATTATATCTACCTATCTCTCTCCCTTCCTCCCTCCTCTCTCTCTCTCTCTATATATATATATATATATATATATATATATATATATATATATATATATATATATACTCATTGATCATAGTAATCTGCACAGAATCACTGGAAGTTTATATCAACATATGCTCTCAGACCGATATTAAGCACTCTTCCCCATAAATAGACAACATTTTAAACACTATGCATATATATATATATATATATATATATATGTGTGTGTGTGTGTGTGTGTGTGTGTGTTTGTGTGTTTGTGTGTGTTTGGGCTGGTGCTGTAATGTGTGCATCCCGTATGGTTTCTATATACATAAAATAAATTTTGAATGGTCAATATATGGTCACATTCGCTTTTTTCAATCCCACATATCGCTCTATATTTGTCCTTTCTATTTTTTAAGTCTATCATTTATAGAAAAAATACATTTAAACTTATCTCTCTGCAAATTTGACCGCACAGAACGCGTTTGTGTCCATTTTTTCTCGTGCTCTTCTAAATTCTATTATCCCCACTTCCTTCATCTCTCATAACTCTCCGATTTTCAACAACTCACACTTCAGGAGTTAGGAGAACAAACTCACTTTCTATTCGTCTCGATTAACTTCGCCAGTTATGTGAGTATCTTTCTTATCTTAATCTTATACGTCTTTCTTTCTATAATTTTTCATCATCCTTTATATTTTTTACCCTCTTTTTTCATCAGCTTCTACTATACCTTTGTATTTTCAGATCTTAGACATACTTTTCGTTTTCTTTTCATTTGTATTTTATTTCCTCTTTCTCACTTTCGCTCTCAACATTTCAGTCAATGGCAGCAATATGATACAGACTTTGGCGATCGACGAGGAGCTGCTCCGTTGCCGGCAACGAACGATCGCAATAGCTTGCACGAGTGATAAAAATCTCCTGGCAATTTGCAATGTCCGGAACAAATAGATGTTTCTGGTGCTGTTGATAACATCAAATCGCTCACGCCATTTCTCGAGTATTACGCGGTGAAACCTCCCCTTTTATCGCCCCAGTGGATGCCGGGAAAGATAGCGAGCCTCGCAGGCTGTCTCGTAAACCAACGGAAGTGTGACATTGATTTGATTTAACGAAATAATTAGTTAAATAACAGACGATAATATCGCCAAGTTGTGGTGCTGGGTTTAGAAGAAGAAAAAAGGAGAATAAGGAGATGAAAAGAAAGAAGAAGGATCTTTGTGGCTGACATTGTTGCCGATCGGTAAGTCGGGGAAAAGGGTGAGGAAAACAAATGTGAAAGTAAAAGGGGTATAAAGTCGACGAGTGAGGTTAGGAAGGAGAAGCAAGGAGAAATAGTTGATGGAAAATAGAAAATTCAAAGCTGCAAAGAGTAAAGCGATTGGAGAGGGGATGGATATGTTTGGGGTTGGGTAAGGATCCCTTTGCGCGGAAAAAGGCGTCGGAAGGTGGGTGTAAAGAGAATGATTTGATTTCGAGAAAGGAAAATACAAAAATGCTGAGAAAATAGAATGTGACAAATAAAGAGTGAATAGAGAATGAAGGTGAATAGAGAAAATGAGAGAGAATAAATGTAGAAAGTCGTTTAAAAAAACAGAAAGAAATAAGAAGGAAAGAATAATGCAAATGAAAAAGAACAAATAAGTGGACGTATATGTACAAATAAGAAAATTAATAGAAGGAAGAAAAAGAAAAAAATCTGTATGTAAAAAATTAAAGACAGAAAAACGAAGGAACAAAAAAAAGAAAAAGGAAAATAGACAAATTACCTGTTTTTTGGTGTTTTTTTTTTCTAAATTAAACCAAAATTTGATAATGAATGTGTGAAGTTAAAAGCGCAAAGTACATAAATAAATGATTTCTAGTGAGACTACAAAACTTATAGTAAATTTATACAGGAATAAAAATGAAGAGAAAATAAGAATAAAAAGATAATGTAAGCTTCGGTTTAAAATATTTGTGAGAAACAAATATTGCATGTAGAGATGGAAATGTGCGATGCAACTTTACATTGGAAAACAAAAAAGAGGAAAATGAAAGTAGAAAAAAAGGTGGAAACTTAAAATAGAAAAGGAAAAAGAAGAAAATGAAAAGAAAATTTTAAAATTACCATCAGAAAGAAATAAATAGGAAAAACAAGAAGGAAATGCAAACGAAAGATGTCTTTCAGAAGGGCGATGAGGAAACTGTTTAACAGAAAAATGGAAATAAAGGGGAAAAAATAAATGCTACGGCTGATTTCAATAAAATATAATACATTAAATTATTACACATGTGTATGTGTATATATATACAGTGTGTGTGTGAAAGCAAACGCTAAGCCGCCTGCATACATACACATTAATATCGTATATGTATGTATATATGTATACATTTCTATATGAGTGTATATTTGCAAATTGTTTTATAGTTTATATTCCAGCTCTCCATTTGCCCACCGCTACATACACATATAACCAAACACAAAAATTCACACATCTATGCAGAAACATAAATATATACCTACACACATTATATATATATATATATATATATATATATATATATATATATATATATATATATAATATTTTATATTTACATATGTTATATCTCTGATCTTGAGTAGTTTTACGCATAAATATAGCATCTCAACACTATAGTTTTATCATATATATATATATATATATATATATATATATATATATATATATATATATATATATATATATATATATATATATATATATATATATATATATATATATATATATATATATTATTATTATTATTATTATTATTATTATAGGCAGGAGGTTTGGGAGTGATGGATTCTTTCTGTGTTCAGAAATAAAATATAGGGAGAGTTGAAAGCCCATGAACAAAAAGTGCATGTATTTAATTTGGTTAAAAATTAAATGAACAGAAAGCATTATTGTTCAAATTATTTAAAAACGAATGAACATATGCTCATTGCAATTTGAATAAAGAAATATCATTGCTGAATTTCAGTGACAAATTAGAATGAAAGACATTTTTGAAAATGAGGTTGGATTGAATGACATCACGCATGAATACGAAAAAATTGGAGAAAGGACTGATCAAAATGTGGACGTGTGTTTAAATGTGTATCTGCGCATGTGCATGCAGGTTGGGGCATAGAGTCGAGCTTGAAAATGAAGATAAAAGCGATTTATATCAGCCTATCACGTGTTCAAAATGAACCACCGAAACTATCAATGAGAGTAAATATGTCATGACGAATGGAACAGAGAGTAGTGGTAGTGATATTGCAAAGCTGAAAATACATCATCCACTGCTTTAACAGGTAGCGTCAATTGGATAGAATAGATCTACCTATCTACTAATACATACTTTTCTTTGTTTACATGTGACAATAAAGAGCACAGAGAGGATAGAATTAGCGTCTTTTCCACGGTATAATAATGAAGAGCAGTGTCAGTAAGACTGACGTCATGACCGTCAGCAAAAGACCAGAAAAAAACTGGACGTCAACATCAATGGGACCCATCTAAAGCAAACCAGTGAATTCAAATATCTGGGCAGCATATTTACTGAAAACGGCAATCTAGACAGAGAAATCGAGACCAGATGTCAGAAAGCCAATGCAGTCAGTTACCAACTTGCTCCTCTTCTAAAACATCCTTGCATTTCCATGAACACCAAGGCAAATCTCATCAGCGCTATTTTCCTACTAACGCTAACATTCCAATGCCAGACATGGCTCCTAATAAAAAAAACCCTTGAGAGGAAACTGATCATTTGTGAGATGAAATGCCCGACGAAAGCCAGACCAGGCGAGACAAGGACAGGAATGAGGCAATAAGAGATATCGTAGGAGCAATACCAATCATATAACACATCCAACGACAGAGTATCAAGTTCGGACACTTTACTCGTATGCCTATCAACCAACCAGCCCTACGAGCATACACCCTCAGGTACTCGCTCAAGCAAGTGGCAAGGATGCGATCTCCTCATTACAAGGGTACTATCACTCTGCCCTAATACATACACATCAGATATAACTTCTAATTGTATTTTTATGTTTATCGCTACAAATCCTTTATATCTATACTTTGTGTTTTATAAATGAAGTTTTGTTTTATTTCCAAGCGAATTTACCATAATAGGTGTCGATGACAACACATCAAGATTGAGACTTAAGATTTGTCACGAATGTATAAAACATTTAATCCTAAATTCATCACTTCTTATTTTATGTACCACGTCCCTTCAGGATACGAGCAGTCATGGCTCGTCATGGCTCGTCACAGCTTCCGATCATTCTTTTCTCTAAGCTAGTGGTTCCCAACCACTGTGCCGCAGCACATTAGTGTGCCGCGGAATGATTACTGGTGTGACGCGAAGAGATAATACCTAGAAGCCATTTAATTTCATTTTGTTTAATAAAGACATTCAATTTCTTAATCATGAGGCCACCGCTCAATTACATTTAAGTAATATTGGTTAGGAATCGGAATCGTTAAAAATTTAGGTATTTTATAACCAGTTTATATCGTCTCTACATCTCATTCACAATATTTACAGATTCTTTGTAGATATTTTTATTAAATATTTAGGCGTTGTAAATTAAAGTTTTAGTAAGACAAACAAAAAACAAATTAAATATAATAAAAATTCTTTTAGATTTATTTTTTTTTTCAATTTTAGATTCAATTTACCTTTAATTATGGACAAGTTTCTGAAAAGAAAAGGCGATGGTGACAAGAATAATTCTACAACATCATTTAAAAAACCAAAAGTTCACCGGTTGTATAGTGATGATTACTTACTCTAAGCAACATGAGTTTTCTTAGTATCCTCTCAGATACTGTTCATTAATACAAAACACGTTAAGTTACTGTTTACGTCTACTCTATTTGCATTCAGTTTGTCTTGTGGGTGTCAAATTCTTTAAACACCTTTTTCTTTCTTACGTATCCAAGATATTTCACATTCCTCTTTCGGATTTTACGTACAAGTGTCGTATTGTTCTCCTTTTCCTAAAACTTCCCAGTTGCTTGAAATTTCCGTTCATGTTTTTCTTAGTAACTTTCTGTACAATTTCATATTCGCTACCAGAAGTCTCGTCTTCATCCTTGTGAAAATTTTGCAGCATTTTGAAACCCATCTTATAGAGAAGGAACTCATTCGTTAAGCAGTGCGTATAAATCTTTCTAACTAGGGTGTCAGAGTACGGCACCCTCTTCAAAGCTATCCTAAACAAAAGTATAGGCTGATAAAACTAACATGAACATGTCGAAACTAACGATTTCCGGACTAGAATCTTCGCCATGTAATCATTAAAGTTGATTAGTAGTTCAAGACTGAGGCGAAAGAGGCAAAAGCGGCGATCAGAGGATCATGTCAACAGCATCCAACCGGTGTATTATATGTGACAGGAGGTAAATAAATGCGGCTATTCAAGCCAGTTTCTTTGGAAATAACTATCTTTATAAAGTATTGTTGACATTTTGAAGAGTTTGTCCATGTATTTATTTTATAAATTCTTGAAATCTAAATGTTAAATATCGACGCGAGCTTATATTTCGAGTTACATAACATGAATAGGGTACTGACTACGGTGTAAATAGTAAGCTGAAACTTACTGAAGGTAAATATCAATGCTTTCCGCAGATATATGAGCGAAAGAAGAAAATAAATTTCCAATATTTTGTTCGTGGTTGAGATTATAGAGATTTTATTTTAAATTTGTTAGATTGATATAAAAATAATCATTTCGAGTTAAGACTTATGGAAATCAATATAAGATTTGGAACATTGATTTTTCAGTTTTTATTCTACTTGTAAAATCTAAATCCCATTAACTTGCAAAATAGCACACAGATTGTCAATCAAAAAAACAGTCGACGAACTGCGTTGTTATTGCGGTAGGGATTGCTCACATAATATTCATCATTAGTTTAGTTTTTCCTTTCGCTTGTGTTGTTAGGCGTCGCAGGGAATCACAGTCGTCTGTTAGCGGCAAGGCGAGTGGCCTGCAGGAGTGATATCTCGTGGGCTCTGAGAGTATCTGCCACTGAGTCGCTCCAGCTGCATAGGACCACCTGTTTCATCCGGCTCTCACGTATGTTTCCGTGATGCTGTTTTTCCCGACGGCGGCCACACCCCGGGCAACGATATCGTCCGACCGACAATACTATGTGTAGTTAGAAAGTCGGGTGTTCCCCTACTGGTGAAGGGTAATCACATCAGTACAATTTGCATCAATGCCACACCTTCCATGTCGGCGAACAGAACATCAGATAGTTGGCTACCAAGATGGTAACTCCACTACTTGGTTAGCTTTCGTCAGGTTAACAACCCGGACAGGTGAACATTTCTATTGTTATGATACCCACGAGAGATTTTAATTGAACTGACCTTCAACGGATTGGACCCCTGTTTTTGAACAACGGACAACAATTTGTGGACAAAGGACTTCACCTATGATATGACATACGTATCGCAACCTGGAATGTCTTTACCCTACTCACAGCCGGTACCGCAACCCTTTCTGATTATATTTGTTAAAACTGTCACAACGCCACATACATGGATATCTCATTAGAAAAAATATCAATACAAATGTCTCGGTATATGAGCTTGATTAGCATTGGGCTAGCCCCGATATATTTTTTCTGGTTATTCTTCTGTAAGGCAGCCTCTCTTCACCAGGGTTAAGGAGATCAATCT